ATTCACGTCTTTCCGTTCTTGCCCCCTCCTCAGTAATACAGGTTCTCTGATAATAAATAAAGATTGAGCCTTTCTCTTGATAGAAGCACTTAGAGGATCTTCTTCCTGCACAGATTTCTTTTCATTGCATGCATAGGATCTTTGTGTCAGTATGAACCCTACTTCTCTGTCAAGCTTGGTTGAAATTGGCTGAAAGATTCAAAAGTTATTAGGCAAGTACAGACAGGGTCATTAGCCCTCTCCCCTTAGGAAACAGACTTCAATGATGTGATCTCAGCGGGGGTTGACTGCCCTCAGTTAGTTAATTCACGTTAAAAGAGCAGTGCAGACACACCTATGCTTTAATAGGAGATAATAGCTTGTGTTAAACCTAGACTGAAGTTTTGTTTTCACTGCTTTTTTAGCCCAAATGACATTGTATTATTGGCAGCTTAGATGGATCCCTAGTCATGTTGTCTAACAAAATTATGTCTGCTCTTTGATCTTCAGCTTCAATGAGATGAACTTCACAGCCACCTAATTTTTAAAACCTAGTTATTAATTAGGACACCTTGTAGATCAGAATGATTTCAAATCTGCACAATATTCTGGTAACTGAGTTTGTACAATTAATTATTTTAATACAATTATTATTACCTTTCAGAGTCAAATGTAACGTTATTATAACAAGTAAGGATATAGGCATCCAGTTGTCCTTGCTCAGTCAAAACTCTTATTGATTGCTCTGACTTTGCAAACCAATGTCACTGTTCAGTTCCAGATTGAGGGGTTTTTCTCCTTGTTGTTAGCTAGATAAATAAAGGTGCTAGCAGGCCGAAGACAGGCATCCGTCCTTGTTGAAGAATATTAACCAAATCAATTTTTTCACAAAAAGAAAATCAATTGATGCATTAGCAAGAGAGAAAATAAAACATTATGCTGGTTTAACTCCCAGGAGCCTGGATAGTCAACTCTAACTTTCAGAAACAGAGAGATAAAAAAGATCTAAAGTTCAGATCTAAATCTGGATCGGAACTTCTCCAGGGCACATGGGGACTCTGACTCATTTCTAAACTAGATGTGCATTTAAAGGGCAGTCACATAAAAATTGATCCTCCTGACAGAGCTTTGGCGAATATGGACACATCTGATTCTTTGAATCCCAGTTTGTCCTCCAAAAGCACTAAAGTGGGGGGATGACAGCGGAGCTTGCATTGCTGAATTCATCACCTGATGAATTTTCAGCCTTTGCTGGAAATAGGATGTTGCTGTAAACGTAGGAGAAGCAGCCTGTTTTCTTCTACAAGGCCTAACACATCTTCTGTAGGCTTTTGATGGTGAAATGGGACTCAGTTTTTATATGATCTATATTAGACTAGCAAGTTCTTGGGCAGACAGAAACATTATTTTAAATGGGAAACATTGTCCGGTAGCTGTTGTAGAATCTCTTGAAGAGTTAATTCTGGTTCTGCCACCAGTTTGATGTGTGGTATTTAGTAAACCATCAGACCTTTAAGCTAAGTATTTTAATAGGATTTCATTACAAAATGAAGTGAAAGCCTACTAAAGTGTTGTGGAACTTTGCATCTGAATCTGAACTTCCAGACTGAGGCTATTTTATAGTAAATATCTTCTTCTACCTCCTTGGGCTGCCGCGAAGAATAATTAATGTTTGCATACTGCTTTGAACATGCAGACTGTAATGGCAGTACTAAGTTTTAATATTAAAACTATTAAATATTGGGATTCTGTAATAGTCTCTTTCCATTTCATAGAATCATAAGGTTTTATGATGTGTTTAAAAATAAAATTGCTGTGAGGAAGGACTGCCATTTAAATTTAAGATCAAATACTTCAAAAAGGATTATATGATACGCCTGAGAATTCCCCCGGAGCTGCTTCTCCCTGCCTGCCCTCCTCCATACACAGGCTGGTTTTCTACATTACAAATGAACCCAGGTTTGTCTGTAACTGGAAAACCTTGTGCAGGCAGCTGGCATGACTTCCCAGCCTGCGTGGAGGGGGCTTAGGGAGATCACTGAGCCGATGCATTGCATAATGTGTGTATGCACTTGCATTGGAGCATGCATGAAAGACTGTGAAAAACTTAAGTAATATGACGAGCGCTAATGGTGAAGCTTACAAAACGTACCTTATGGGTAGATTATTCTGAAATTTTCCTCCTAAGGCCTTATATACACACATACACACACACACACACACATCTCTGAAGTACCAACTTTGACAAATGCTGGACTTGCTCAACAGCTAATTTGCCTTAATATGGTATCTAGTCTTAATATTGATGTGAAATATCTAGACACAGAACCCCACTGGAATAATCAAATACTGTGTACGCATTACTGCAAGTCCAGAATGCCATCCCCACTGATTTAACTACTAATGAATTTGGAGACATCTATGTCTGAGCTAGTTGTTTGGACTTCTCTTATATTCATTGCAAAGAAATAGGCACTGCTAGGATGCAATTCATTATGTCCTAATGCAGATCCCTAGATTTGGTTAGATGAATTGCCCCCTGAAAGAGCATTTTTCTCTGACTTGATTGTAGAGGGAAACAGAGTAATTAGCTCAAAAGTAGCTGGTTACATCTTAGAAGCATAGAGGTTGATAAGACCCTTTTAGTCTGTTTTTCATTCTGGCACATCTCTTTATATTTACCTTTGATTCATAACACAGACTTTTTAAGCAAGCAAAACATGCCTTTTGTTGTTGTTTGGACAATAACTGATGGTTTTCGCTGAAAAATAAAACTTGTGCATCAAGCTGGTCTATTAATACAACTGCTTTAATGAAAAGAAACTGAGACGACTGTAGGCAGTATTTCTCAGCATTTTCATAGAATCATAGAATCATAGAATGTTTTGGGTTGGAAGGGACCCCTAGAGGTCATCTAGTCCAACCCCCCCGCAGGAGCAGGGACACCGCTAACTAGATCAGGCTGCTCAGAGCCCCGTCCAACCTGGTCTTGAATGTT